CTTATAAAAAAATGATTTAAAAGAAAAGTTGCTTGAGAGCCAAACATCTCTTCAGATTATAGGCCTTTTTTTCAAAAAAGGCTGCACGAGACTGTTAAAAAGGATTTTTGAATGAGGATACAATTTCTAATATGAACAAACCATCTCCTATTTAAGGATTAGTTTTGTGTCTAAACCATTATATTTCTTTAAAGACTTTTTCATACTAAATATTTTAGAGAAAGTGTTATGAAATTCTAATTATATTTTATTATATAATATTTATTATTAATCAGAGTGAGACTCTTAATATTAGAGGTTTTTTTTTTCTATCTAACGATCCTTAGTTTACATTTTAATGTAATTTAAATTGTAAAATGAAATATTAATATTTTTCATACAATTCAATAATTTATACTGTAAATATATTTTTTATCAACCAATAAATGAATATTTTATATAAGAGAGTTCAAGAATACTCCATCTACATCTCAAGTAATGTTTAAACTACTATTTTCATTGCTTGATGTTTTAATTTTAAATTATAGTTATATAATTATCTTCCTTTATTATAAATTTCACATATAGTATTATATATTTTTTTTTAAAGTATATATTATATACCTTTAGTCATTTATTCTTATACATGACGAGTATGATTGACATTACCATTAAAGAGTGTATGATAGTGCTCATTTACAAATTGATTTTCATGAAGTAATTGATGAACTTGGAGAAGTTGAGGTCGCCATATCTTTTATTTGCACAACTAAAAGAGGATTTGGACCTTGTCATTCAAGCAAGGCCGTCAATAATGGCATTAGAGTTAGTGACTTGATGGATAGGGAATACTTAAAAGATGAACGTGGGCAGTAACCAATCATATGCCCCAGAAGTTGCTTCCCATTCAAAAACATGGGACGAAAGCTTTGGTGTTGAATAGTTGACAATGAGGCTATTTGGAAAAGTGAAGCGCTTACTTTATAAATAAAGTTTTTGATTTAAAAAATGATATATATATCTCGTAAAATTATATATTTTATTTTTGTTTATAATATTAAATTCTGTTAAAGAAAAATTTAAAAATTAATTTTCAAAATAATTTTAATTAGTTTAGATGCATAATTTATTTAAAAGTTATTTTAAAAATTAAATTTTAAATTTCTTTTTAATAAATTTTAAATTTTATAAAAAAAATTTTATTTTAAAATAAATTACTTTTCAAATTTAGTCAAATTCTCCGTCTATATATCAAATGGGAATTGATATGCGCAGCAAATCTTGCACTGTGAGTTGGGCAGCAATTTGCGGAGCGGCATTTTTAGAATAAAAAATTTTATATTATTTGTCATGTGCACTATAAATTTATTGTTATTATTGTATAATTAGTTATTTTTATATAAATTTATTTATAAAATTATATACATTTATTTAATAATACGTTAATAATTATAAATTTATTTTATATTTAAGAACTTACAGCCATTCATTTAATAAAATAAGTTTACTTAGTTTACTTTTTATTTAATAATTTAATAATAATATTATCTATATCTATTTATTTAATAAAATATTATAATTATAAATTTAAAATCTTAATTGATATTATAAATATATTATTATCGATTTTTTCTTTGAAAATTACAAATTAGCTGACAGTGTGGCAAGTCACGTAGTTCACTACGCAGTCCAAAATTCATTGCGTCTATCACTATTCATCTCAATTTGTATTAACTTAAAGAAATTGATATAATTTTTAAAATTAATACATGACTAAAAATATTAAAACTTCTACACTAAATTTAAAAAATATCAATAATTAATAGATAATTTGTTAAATTAAGTCATTTTTAGTGCCAGTATGATTTGTTTTTTCCGCAACCTCTCCTGGGTTTTACAATTAACTGAAAATTTTGTTACCAATTACTTGTTGATTTAAATAGATAATTCAATTTTTCTTAAGTAAAATCTTAAATTCGAGTTTTGTGAATAAAAAAATAAATATCAGAAGAATTTCCCTTCTAATAAAGTTCAACGCAATTTGATTTTGGATTTGTTAAGATCAAATGTAATTACCGAATACCAAGAGATTAATACAAAAAAAAAAAAAACTTGCTAACCAAAAATGCTTTTTCTTAAAATTTGTGCCAGAAAATCAAAACTCCTGGCAAAGCCGTCCACAATTTGTAGCTTGGCTTCTCTGAGAATTTTTTCCAGGGGGTAAAGAGCGAACCAAACACACCCAAAAGTTTACCAAAACAAACTCCAAAAACATCTCAAAAAAACGTTAAGTAGATATTATCAGCAATCATGGGTGAAGAGTATTTCAACAAAGTAGCTGAAGACTTGGGATTTCTGAAGGCTTTTTTTTTTTTTTCCCCCTATAGAACATAATTATGTTGCATATTCTAAGAAAATTAAAGAGCTAGTAAGGCGACCATCTGTATCTGTACAGGTGTATCATATTACACTCCAGATGATGTGCAAGGCGTTGCATCGTCTTATGTTTTGGAAAGAACATGCGCATTAGAGGTATCTGCTGCAGTTTTTCATCCACATCTAATCTTGAATTTGATCGTAGTCTCCATTTTCTGGAGATTGATGAGCTCCATGACTTGTTCTTCCTGAAAAAGAGAACATACCGTACAACAAGTCTATTTTGCAGTGTAAAAACTCACAACCAAGAATAAACTCTAACCTTCGGCCAAAAAAAGAGAGAGAGGGAAGAATAAACTCTAACCTGTCATTTCAAAACCACTAGAAGCTCTACCGTCTAGACCACCCCTCCACTCTGGGGGCCGAGAATGTGTTGCATGCATTCCACGTGGTTGAATAACAAAATGACTTCCCCCGAAAGCTTGATCATCATTTCCCCCAATCAGATTTCTTACAGGAGCTTCAAAGGCTGTGCGGAAGCCACCAGCATTAGCTATTGATGTCCCAGCAATGGGTGAAGGCAACCTGTTGCCAGGGGCATCACTTTTTGCACCAGCACTAGCATCCTTCTTGTGGTCAATCACAAATGTACCAATAATAACCTGTAGATGCAACAAATAGATATTCAAGAACTAAATTAAACCTAGTAACGGAAACATATTGGCCATTAACTGTGGCCTGGCTCAGTTCTCTATCTCAAATGCAAACACACAAGAAAACTCAGTCGCAACATCAATGATGAAATCTCTGATCATGTATGATTAATGGCTTTGTGAGAACCATGGCATGGATCAGTTGTCTCTCTCACACAAACACACATACAAAAACACACATAGCAACATCAATGATGAAATCCCTGATCAGATATGATTAATGACTTTCTATACCATCTAACATGGTTTCTTTCTTTTAGCTATATATAAGTACATATTTTAAATGAAAATACCTGAACTGGGCCAGCTGCCATTAGTGGTCCACCAATTCCTCCACCAATGATCTGCCCATCTGAATTAGATAGACAAACACTGAGCCCACCAGTCCTCTGATCTCCGATTTCAGTCCGTATGTATGATCCAGAGAGTGAGATAATATCAAACCGACCCTAATATCATATCATGCAGGAAACAATCATATTTGATGGTGTCAAACATGTTTTAGACAATTAAGAAACATGCTTTGCATGGTCAATTTATCTCGCAGCACAATGAAGTAGAGGAGAGTGGCAAATCTTTGAGATGGTGAGAAACCAACATTTGGGCAAAATACATGTGTTCTTTTTTATACATTTGGCTATTGCATGATATTAAAATAGTTTAGCCCATAAAAGCTGAGCCTAAGACAGTGTATCAGTAATGGGATGACTGTAGTAGGATAATAAGTGTAGCCACTTTCCTGTTTTGTCAAATGGAAATTAAAAAGTGTCTTCATATCCACATTCCACGTTATCAGAACTCGGAAAAGCGGGATATTACTATGTGCTCATTTGGCCCTTCTTCTCAAAGAGCTTCTCTACCACAGAAATAGAAACTCAGCCAAACATAGTTCTCTTAAAAGTGCTTCCGGCTTTTCTAGGTAGGACTAGAAGCTGAAGCAACAAATTTGTGGCTTATGAAGTAAAGCTTTTGCAGATAAATTTTATGTTTGGTAAATTCATCATTTTCTAAAATTATAGTTATTTTACATAATTTAATTATTCAGCAGTCCTATGAAAGTTCTACTCAAACAGCAGTTATATAAA